GATTCTCCTCAAAACAGATTGTGTCAGTTAACTTTGAAAATTCACCATAAATTGTGCATAATGAATTAGGAGGATCACCTCATACAGATAGATTCATATTTGAGTTTACTTTCCATTCGTATAAAATGAATAATTTTTGAATATGTATATTAATACATAATAATATTTCTTTAAAGGTAGTACAAACTGCCAGGATATGAAATTGTGATGAATTTTGGGATTTAATCGATTTAGAAGGAAAGAATCAAGTTAAATCTAGTGAGACATATATTTGGACTTGTATATAATGTCAAAATGAGTGCAATGCATGCATAACATTATAAATGGATGTTCTATACATCATCGGGTATGACTTGTGATGAGTCTACCTTATTTATGTTGGAATGATATTTATGTCATTCATCATATATTTGACATATTCTAAATATGTCAAAGGTTGAATATAAAATGCATTTATCATTGATCGTTACATATGATAATTATCGTGAACATATATGATATTTATCATGAATGATATTTCAGATAGGAATTGCCCAATGTTAAATTATGATAATATACTTTGCCATGGATAGATCAAATAAAATAGATTGTATGTACAAGTAAGTCATTGAAGGACAGGTTGTAATTGACATGCCATTGAGTCTATCGGCTGCATAATCGGATTAACAGTATATTATGTAAGGACACTTAGTACATTTGGTACTATGGTGTATAAGGACATTTAGTACAGTACTATAGTGTTAGGACACTTAGTACAACATTGTAGTGTGTAAGGACACTCAGTGAAGCACTATGGTGTGTAAGACTCAGTGTATATGGTAAGCACTTTGTTGCATTTTTTACTCGAATACCCATTGTCTTTATAAGGTTACGTTTGGTCTATGGTTTATTGGTTAATAAATGATAAACATGTGAATAAGCTTATGAGCTTATGGAATACATGACACGTATATTGGTAAGAAATTTATATGTGATTCATATCATGTTCATATTAGTAGCATGATTGGAAATACAGGTAAAGTGATCATAATGCGTTGGATATTATTATTGTTTACATTTTATGTGTTGCATTGCCTTGAATATATTTCTATTGGTTGTCTAACTATGTGTATGCTAAGTGTGTGATGATTTTCATGCGTAGGTAAAATAAAGAAAAAGGTGTAAGGAGTTGAGCATGGAATCAATCATCAAGTAATATTTTCAGGTAATAGTAATAACATCCTATGTTGTTCTAAAGTTTCTAATTTGGCATGTATACGAGAATGAAATATTTGCAAATTTTTATTATTATTAATATTATATAAATTTATAGTATAAATAAATATTATTATATTAAATTATATTTTAATTGTTAATTAAATTGGATTTTTTAAATCAGGAAGTTTTATTTATTATATGAAAAAAATCAAAATCGCTTGTTACTACCTGAGATCATACTTGAATTAGAAGTTGAAATATTATATTTTGAATTAATCTGATTATTTATTTTATAATATAAATGGTTTCAAATATGGAATTGGTGAAAGAAACAAGATTTTATCTATTTTTGGTTAAGAAATGTTTTGATTATTTGTTGTGAGATTTATGACTCATGTATGGGGTCGTATGGGAATAGGGTTTTGTTGTTGTTGTATGGGATCGTATACGGGAAATGGGTGTTACACACAAATAAAATATTGGGAGTATTCACAAGAGTGTGACAAGGCAATCCAAAAGGTGTTTTACAAGAAATTCTACAAAGTAGTGGTCAAGTTTACAACATCCCCAAGAAAAAATTTGGAGGATCTAACTCCACCCGCAATACTAGATGTTGAGAACATTTCTACTAGCATTGATGAGAAAGAAACTAAAGAAGAGGAGGAGGATGCTAACCATGGTGCCTAGACAGATTAAGGACGATGCTAAGGAAAAATATGATATTGCTTAAAAAGAGAAAGAGGCTAATTATGAGATGTCTACTGATGTAGAGGCTACAAACTTTGAGGATGTCAACATCATCGAAGTTGACATGGAGAATTCTAGCCAACAAGAGGAAGATTTGAAGATCAAAAAATAAATTACCCTACAATTACTTCATTTAAACAATGATAAAGCTGCTCACGATGTTGTAGCTGTGAAAGAGTAAAATATTCATGTTGAAAATGTTGTTCGTAATCTTGTTGAAGACAAAGTGAAATGAGCCGAAGATAGTCTACCTTAGGAAATTGTTGTTATGCCAGTTGGTGACTCACTAGGATAATCAAATGAAGCTGAAGATAAAGATGTTGTTATATCATATACAACTCCAGCCCCTGTTGTTGTTGTGTCAAGGTCACATCAACAACAACTACAAATAAGTGTAAGATTTTGATGAAGGCCAAAATTCATCCAAGCAAAGTCGTCCAAGTCTACTAACCCCAAGGAGAAGCCCAAGAAAGACGAACTATGAGAGTATTGTTTGTATATTTACTTTGTTTTTATTGTTGTTTTCTACATGAATAAGGGACAATGCAACCCTTAGGTTTGGGGTGTTTGTCCATTTGTGTTTTTTTATTGTGACATTTAGGGTATTATGTTACTATATTTTTGCATTTTGTGTTACATTTTGTTTTACATTATTGTGCATTTTGTTAGCATTTTGTTTACGCATTTAGGAACTTTATATGCAATGGTGTATGTTTAATTTCATTTAATCAATGAAGTTTTTTAGTGAAATTTGATGATGCCTTAGGATGAAAAATTTTAAAATGATGAAATGCTATGAGAATGTTTTAGATGCTTGTTAGAATTAGGATATATAGAAATTTTTATACTATATGTGTATGTTTTCAATACTTATAGAAAATAGAAATTTTTGAACTTTAAATCTTATATCATTCTTAGATTCTATAACAATCATGAAAAAATTTCTGAATAAGATGGAACCTCTAGCATCAATAAATTGAATAAGCTGGAATCTCTAACAATAGTGATAGGAAATTAAATAAGTTGGAACGTCCAACACTAGCTTTAGGGTGATAGCTACAACATTGAAAATCATTAGTTGATTAGGGATTTTTTTTCTAATTTGGCTATGTAACACCTTTAATCCATACATGTACTTAAATACGAGTTAAAGATGTCACATTGACTTTTTATAAAATTTCATACTTGAAATCCCGTAAAATTTTGTTCTATTTTAAAATTTCAATTTATCAATTAAAATCAATTTAATTAATTATGTAAAAACATAAAATAATATTTTTTCCATTCAATTTAAATTTGAATTTAGGAAGCAACTAGACAGTTCGATACTGTTTCATAACATTTTTAGAATTGCCAAAACACAGCCTAATTAAAAATCCATCAATTAACTTTTGAAACATAATATTATTAAATACTATTAGTTAATAGTAGTACTTATAACTACTACCAACCATTTTAAACTAGTCTATCAGAGAAACCATAACGTTTATAAAATACATACCACTAATAAGTCAAAGATGCCTTACTCATATTGTAGGTCGGTATGATTTTTCAAGAAGAGATTGTCTCAGTGCTCCTCACTTCTCGTCCTTATCATTTTCTTTACCTACGCGTGAAAGTCATCACATGTTATAGCGAGGCATTATAAACAAACTAAGGTGAAATAGGATATAAAAATATCTTAATAAAATCATAAAAGTTAAATTCATTGTATAAAACTTTTGAAATTCAGAAACCAACTTTAATAAGTCCTTTCCTAATCTTCAAATCCTGTCAAAACCAACATTTTAAATATTTTTAAAAATCATGAAAATCAAATACCAGATCACAATAATCAATAAAATATCCATTTCCATTCAATCACATTTCTTTATATTAGATTCATAACTCATTTTCAGACTTATAAATCATTTTTCAGATTCATAGCCCAATGTTTATATATAAGAATGCAAGGTACGTTAGTCAGATGAGTGTGCCCAATAAGCACTCCAAGTGCTATCATCAGAAACAAAAATATGCACTCTAAGTGCCTCTTTTAACTTGCATCAACAGTGTCATAATAATGTACACGAATATACCATATCAGAATCATAATTACTCCACCTTATGGTATGTTAATTGTACCTTTGAATCTCAATGCAACATACAATGGGTGTTTCTATAAATTCACATCATTTATGATTCCAACATTTCCAATCAGTAGCCTTTTGGAAACATCATTTATCGAAACCAGTGCATTGAGCAATTCATACCCGAAATCATACATAATTAAGATACAAATATCATATAAAATACTTTGGGCAGTTCATGCCCTAAAATCATTTTAGAGAATTCATTCAAATATATTTTCAGAAAATATCATATAAAAACATATTAGGTAATTCATACCCAGAAATAAATCATAAATCATTTCGATAACTGTTATGGAAATATTACATAGATTAATTTAAATCTTTCTTTAAAAATAAATCATCTGAGGTTGACTTATCGCAAGTCTTCATCAATTAGTATATTTACATAAATAAATGCACTCATCTTATTTGCCTCACTATATCCTTTTACGATGCTAATCTTTTAGTCTTGTACTTTATCCTTCACTTTTGATTTGCTTTGCTCACGATATATGTCGTAGTCTAAATCAAAACATATACACAACATAAAATATTCAAAGCATATGTTAGTATTGCACCAACATATTCTAAATCCAATAATAAAATCTATAATTTATATTTGATACTTATTCGATACAATTTCACTTTACTATTCAATAACAACTTCAATACCTCCAACATAACACTTCAATCCTTTATGTTTCCATATTCATCACAAAACTATTCAACTTTCATAAACTTTACAATTTAGTCACTATTTCTGGATTCTTTTAGAATTTATACTAACTTTTCCAATAAATTCAAAGCGATCCTTCACCTTTAATTCAACCTAAACTTAATACCAAAATTTCCATAATTAAAATAATATATTCGATCTAATACAATCACGTTTGTAAACTTGTCATTTAACCCCAAAAATTTCCAAACTTTTTGAATAAACCACTAAACTTAATCAAGTTTGCAATTTGGTACCAAATAATCATTCTTATTTCAAATTCAGCATCCAAATATTAATTTCCAACATTGTAATAGTACACTTAATCTAAAACTTTAACATTTGAAAACTTAAAATTACATCCCCAACTTTCTAGCATAATTCAAATTAGGCACCAACTTTTTTAAATTGTTGCAATTTCATCCAAAACAATATTCTAACTTAAAATCGACATTCAAATAATATTTTCCAGTATAGTACATCCATAATTAAGCATTCATAATTCAATGTCCCGTAAATTCCAAAACTTGTAAAATAGTTCTTTTACTTACACAATGTTCCAAATTGATCCAAATCAATTTCCAAAGCATTTAGTATCATTCTAATATTAAATACAAACCATAGGAAGTTTTTTGAATTTCCCCCTTTTAATTTATCCATGGCCGGAACTAATTAAGAAATTTGGGCACACTTTTCATTCAATTTCATGCATGAATTAAACCTCATATGACCAATTTTATGAAATTCCAATCATCCTAACATCAAATTCAATCCAAATTCAATAAATTATTAACAACCCTAGCTTTGTTGAATTTATTATATGTTTTTTCTAGATGATTTTAATCATCACAAATGCTTGAAATTAATATACAACACTAAAAGCATAAAAATAATTCTTTAATTCTTCAAAATCCAACATGTTTTTCATCCACCAAAATCATGTAGTTCATCATACAAGCATGTTTTCCATGAAATATTTATACCAAATGATAGAAATTTTCAAGTAGATTAATTCTCTCTCTAATAGCTTAACCCAAAAACCAATCAAATAAGCTTAAAATCAAATTAAAAATCCTTAGCTTATAAAAATGGTGGTTCACGTCCAAGCTTAAAGAAAACTGAAGGTTTCTTAAATTTTCTTCATAATTCTCCCTATGCATATGGCTTTATAATAATTTATTTAAAACATGATGATTTCAATCATGCCCTTGCAATATCTTCCAATTTAATATTCCAAAGTCAAATATAAACCAACAAAAATTAACTTTCCACCTTTAAGCAAGCAATTTTTGAAAATTGCAATTTAGTCACTAAATTTCACAAATTTAGCTTAACATGGAAAATCAACCTTAATTCCACTTATCTATGTTAAATTTCACTATTCTAAATTATTTAAATAACATTTCCAACCTTTTTTCTATCATTCTTCAAATTTTTGTAAATTTGTTGTTTAATTTGATTATCCAAATTCTTATCAAACTTTATTGCTTTATAGTTTTAATACATATCCTGAATCAAAATTCTTATTCCCACAAAATCATCAATTTTGTAATAAACTATTCATTTATGCGACAAAATAGATAACTTTTAAAAATTATATTTTTGGACCCTAAACCTTTTCTAAATTTATACTTTGGTTATTAAACTTTCAAATTTTACATTTTGATCACTAACAAAAAATTTGGTGCACTATAAGCTAGGTATTGGTTGGATACACCTAGCTTGTACACTACTACACTACGTGGATTTGATTTTAATAAGTTGACATTGCATTCACTAATTTAAAGTCATGTGTATAATGTACTTAATTCTTCAACAATAATATGAGGGATGAAAAAGGAAGTTAAAAAGTTGAAATGGTTTAATGACGTTATTTTGTGGTATTATTGTTTAGATGTAGTTGCATTTCATGCATTTTGTTGCTTGAGGAAAAATAAACAATTATGTTTGTGGTGTGATAACTCTCCAAAAAAGTTATCATTTAGGTTATTTTAACCTAGGTTTAGTTTGAACTACATAACTATTAGGAGCATATTAGGATCATTTTTATATATTTTTATATAATTTTATCATGGGAATAAGTTTACATCTTTTGGGGTATTTTATGTTATTTTTCTAAAAAATGGTACACTAATGTTGTGGCATTCCTTTATACTATAGGAAATGTTGTGAGACGATAGTATACCGGATTGATGAGATGATTTCGCAATAACTGATGAGATGAGTTCGCAATAATTTATGAGAATGGGACAACTAGCTAGGCAAACCAAATTAACACCTTTTTTTCTATGGAAATTACTATCCACGTAAATCTTGAGTGAGCGATTGCCGTATAAGCCCTTCGTTAAGAAGTGCAGCAGTAGCAATTGGAGCAACAACATCGTTGTAGCAATGATTACCATTTGGGGTTCAAGCTTTATCAGATTCTTTACTTGAAAGAGGGAAGAACTTTTAAGTTTGAATGATTTATTTCTTATGGTGTTTGGATTCAAAGATAAATTGTTTGTTAAAATGTTTATTTTATGATTTTTGCTTGAATAAATACTTTTATGTGTTGTAACATCATTTGATACATTTAGAAATGAAAATGTATTTATATATGTTAATATTGATTATTTTTAGAAATAGAAATCATTAAGGTTGAATGTTACTTTTGTACAATATCAGTATTTGTGAATGTGGGTTTAAGCATACGAAGATGTATGTTACCGAAGACTACTGCTTTGTTAACTGTTTGATTAATGGAATTAGTAAAAATTTATTTTCATTGGTTAAGTTTTTAATCCTTGAAAGGGGTTTAATGTGTCAATCATTATGTTGCATGCCACAACATAATCATACTGACAACAACTAATTGAAAGCAACATTTCGTTGTCCAGTGGTCTATTTGCTCTCATGATTGCTATTGCATTACCTGACATATCTATCATGTTTTTAATAACTTTTCTCTATCTCTATTACTACCCAATCACAATATTTACCTTTTAATATTCAAAGTTAACAATTCTAAGTTGTAATTCTTTTCTCTTTATGGGTTCGACATCTGATATACATATAAACTTTATTACTTGTTATACAACATGTGAACTTGCATTAAATGTTGTAGCAATATGCGTAGCATTAGCTCCACAATGTTTTTTCCATCTCACTGATATCAAGCGTTCAGTTTTTACCACCAGTAAAATATTCCATCTGCACTGGATTAATAGCCCACCCAACTTTATATTGAAGCTTGACTAGTAAGTGACAAGCTTTTATAGACAAGTTGAAAGGAGGATATTCATAAAGGTGTTTTATATGCTATTCGAAGCACTCACAATGCATCGTCCAACCTAGAATACTAGTCCTTATGATGAGGGTCTGCCATCTTTTCTAAGATTTACTTAAATACTCCGTTAGAAACTTTATCTTGATCATTGGATCAGGGATGATAAGTGGTAGTAAAACAATGATTTATTTCATAATGCTTTTAAGCGGCTACCAGTTTCTTGCTATGAAAGTGAGTGCCTTGCTCACTAAGCATAACTCTTAGTGTATCAAACCTCACGAGAACATAATTGTGGAAAAAGTTAATATCGAGCTTGGAATCATCAGCTGGTGCTTCTATAACCTTAATCAATTTAGAGACGTAATCTACTACTACCAAGATGTAAAGATTGCCAAAATAACTAGGGAAAATATGCATGAAATCTATTCCCTAAACATCAAACAATTCAACCTTCATTTTAGGTTATTGTGGCATTTCGTTACATCAGGAAATGGAACTTGTGTGCCAGAATCGATCACATTGCTTAACAAAGTTGTGGGCATAACTAAATAGTGTGGGCCAATAAAATCTTTATTGAAGTATTTTTGTTATAGTTCTCATCCCACTAAAATTCCCACCATAAGGTGCATCGTGATAATGTGCATGATGGATACCACTTATTTCACGAGAACACATTTACAAAAGATGTTGTCGTTACATACCTTCAAAATATATGGCTTATTCCAAAAATATTCCTAATGTCTTTATGAAATTATTTTTTACTAGTAATGGATTTGGGAATGTGCCCACGTACGAGATAATTTACTATATCTATGTACCATAAAACTTTATTGATATTTAAAAGTTATCAGGAAATGCGTCAACAATAGGTAGAATTCTTTAATTTTTTCTACTAACTTCAAGCCTAGATAAGTGATCCTCAACTTGGTTCTTAGATCCCTTGCGATCTTTGATCTATATGTCAAACCTTTATAGAAGCAAAATCCTTTGTACAATCTAGGCTTAGCAACCTTCTTGGAAATAAATAGCGTAATAAAACATGGTCTGTGAAGATTGTAACTTTTTCACTAACGAGATATGATCAAAATTTATCCATTGAAAAAACTACAACTAACAATTCATTTTTCTTAGTGGTGTAACTGATTTGGGCTTCTTTTAGAGTGCAACTGATATAATGTATGACATGGAAAAATCTGTCTTTGCATTGACCTAATACTTAGTTAACAACAAAATCAATTACAACACACATGACTTCAAAAGGTTTTGTCGAGTCTGGTGCTATGACAATTGGGCGCTTGTAAGTTTTCGTTTGATCAAGTTGAAGGCATGCGGTGAAAAGTTTTAACACGTGGCAAGATGGCGAGGATTGGATTTCAATTGTAAAGTGGTCATTTTGTAAGAATTTTTAATGCATTTTGTAATAACATGAATTTTTAATTCATCTTGTAATAAGATAGCAAATGGCTTAAAAATAGAATTTTCAAGAAACTTTATCATCTTTTATTTTTCTTTTTCTTTTTCTTTTTTTTTTGTCACGAGTCCCCAATGTAAAAACAAAATTTGTTTCTTTTGTTTTTTTTCAAGCAATTTTGTTATGAATTTTGATAAAAGCATGAAATGCAAAATTGATCTACATGAAATTGTCAATCCTTTGGTACTATCAATTCATGTTTTTCATGGTTAACACCCTGAGTTTTTATTAGGATTTATGAAAGGGATGTTATGATTTGATGTTTTAAGGTTTTATTATGCTGCAATAGATGTTGAATCATTTTCATGCTTGAAAAATGATGAAAAAACATTAGAAATGGTTTCAATAATTAGGATTTTCAAGATTTTGGAAGTTTGAATTGGTTGTTATCATTGGAATGATTTATAATGCTTAGATATAATGTTTTGAAGGAGAATTCATGCTTGAATCAAATTGGATATCATGTCTAACTTACTTCATAATACTCAACCATTATGGAAAA